TTTCAGATCTTATTCTGAGTTCTCATCTTGGCTCTGCATAGGGCCTGGAACCCCTCTTTCACTCTCTCTTGGTTTCATGTTCTTAATAAGGATCTCACCTCCCTTAGACCAGTATAAAACACTGGAGAAGCCTCTACCCGACTGTCCTGCTATGGGGTTTGAAATGCTGAAAGCCAGGATGGGGGCTGGACATTTTATTGCACCTTCTATTGTGAGGAAGGAGTGTGATCACCTTGGTCTCCACCAGGGTCCTCAATTTGACTCCTAGGTGGACCTACAGCTCCGCTATTCTTTGACTGGAGGGCATTTCCTTATAGCTAGGCCCAGAATTCTCCATGACCTAATAGAGTGAAAGTAGGGCAGCCTTATATGGCCATACCTGCCTGTACGCTCCCAAGACAGAAAGCTGTGGCGGGCACTTTGGGGCCTCATGATGGTTGGCCTCACCAGTTCTCGCTCAGATTCTTCATTTTGACTCATGACAGTGCCCACAATTTCTCCCTTTCTTGACCCGTTACTGTCCCACTCTCAATAAGGCCCTCATTTCTCTGTCACCCTGAGAAGGAATTGAGGGGTACTTTTGCTCTGCCTGACATTTCTCCCTGAATCTCCCAGGACTAACAGTAGGGGAGAGATGATGTGCTGCCTCCATTGTTATGCTTCATGTTCTGATCCTTCCTCATCATCCTTGCCCTGACTCCTGGTTCAAGCTGATAACGTTCTCTATAATGAGATGACCAGCCTCAGACCAAGCACTTTAGCCTGATGGCTCTGCCCTGGTCCTTGTAGGTCTGACAATAGGGACAGGACACTGTGTATTCCTTCTGTTCTGGGATGAGTGGTCTCCTCTATCCTCCCTCAGTGTCTTTAACTTGACTCCTACATAACCAAATCTGAAACTCCACCTTCCACACTACTGTGTACTTAAGGCCACACTCCTTAGACCAAGGCCATATCTTCCTGGAATGTCACAATTGGAAGTTAGGGACAGCCACATCTGGCCACAATGATTCAGGATCTTCTGAGGAATAATAGCAGGGTCAGATTCCTTTTCCACTGCTTTGGAGTCAGTGGCTACCTCAATTCTCACTCAGGTTTCTAACACTGATTGGGGGATGTGGAAGTCCTTCCTCTACTAATCTGAGTCTGTCAGCCTCAAGCCAAAGCTTGCCCTTTACTGAGAAACCAGAGAGGGAAGTCAGGGTGCTACTCGTTGGCTACCCATGTCCTCACCTTAAATCCAATGCAGGCCTGTGAGGATCTCCTTCATGAGCAGAATCAGAGCTACTGCCATGAGATCAAAGCCTTTATCACCCTGAAGTACTAGTAGAAGCCCTAGGGAAAACAAGGGGGAACCTCAACCAGATAGTCCTGCCTATGGCAAGCCAAGGCAGAAAGAAAAATAAAGTTTTAGGAGCCCCTACTGTTCTGGGTGGATCATTCCTCATAATTCATTCAGAGTCCTCATCTTGAGAGTTTTCAGAGTCTGATATCCTCTGCCCACTAACTAGAACACACCACCCTTAGATCAGGACTCTTATATACCTGAGAGACTTACATAAATAGAGACATTTTAGCTTACAGCTATAGCTTGGGCCTTCTAGATATGAGAGTAGGCAGGGCCTGGTCTCTCACTGACCCCTATATTCTGAGGCATTGGTCTCCAGAATCCTCACTGATGGGGGTTCTCATCTTCCTTTCTCTTTGACTGCTGGGAAATGTCACACAACTGCAAATTATTGAGCAGGTTCCCTACTGCAAACCTTGCAGACAATGGCTCCCTGTCCCAGGTTTTATATGAGATGGGGAAGCCGTACCACAAGCTGGGAGGCCCAGGACAAGTGGTGAATTATTAGTAAAAACAACACACTGATCTATTCTTTTGCTTCAACAGCCAGATTTAGCCTATTATGTACTTTGCTTTGAGTATATTTAATTTCTATGGGGAAAGGGAAGTGCAGGATGATTTGTGGAGCTCCTGATCTTATCAGGTTATTTGATGTTGCATATATAGATGATCATACTGTCACTGAATATTATCTTTTCTTTTCTCAATTTATACTAATCATGTATTCAGCATTATTATTAGTCTAGTTATATATTCCAAAGAAGTGCTTTGGGTACTGTGTCCTTTTAATGCTCTGATAAACAGTTGGGGCAGTGAGAGGAAAAATGAATTAAAAAGACACAAAGTCTGGCTCAGGCTGAGAGGACTGAAAAAATGTGGGCTCTCGATGAATCCAGACCAGAGATCTAGTCCCAGCTGTGTCAATTACAAGCCTATGAACTTTTAGATATTTGCAATTTATTCATATTGAAGTGAGGCTGCTAAACCCTATCTTGTAGGAATTTTGGGGTATAAGTGCTGTCTATAAAAAATAAGGCATACTGAATTCTACCAGACATACAAAGAGGAGCTGGTTCAATTCCTTCTAAAACTGTATCAAACAATACAAAAGAAGGAAATCCTCCCTAACTCATTTTATGAGGCCAGCATCATCCTGATACCAAAACCAGGCAGAGAGTCAACTAAAACAGAAAACTTCACGCTAATATCCATAATGAACATTGACGCAAAAATCTTCAATAAAATACTGGCAAACAGATTGCAACAGCACATCAAGAAGCTTATCCATCACAACCAAGTAGGCTTCATCCCAGGGATGCAAGGCTGCTTCAACATATGCAAATCCATAAATGTAATCCATCACATAAATGGAACCAAAGACAAAAACCACGATTATCTCAACAGATGCAGAGAATGTCTTCAACAAAATTCAACAGGCTTTCATGCTAAAAACACTCAATAAACTAGGTATTGATGTAATGTATCATAAAATGATAAAATCTATATATGACAAACCTACAGCCAACATCATACTGAATGGGCAAAAGCTGGAAGAATTCCCTTTGAAATCAGGCACTAGACAAGGATGCCCTCTCTCACCACTCCTATTCAATATAGTATTGGAGGTTCTAGCCAGAACAATCAGACAAGAAAAAGAAATAAAGAGTATTCAATTAGGAAAGGAGGAAGTCAGACTGTCCCTATTTGCAGATGACATGATTGTATATCTAGAAGAACCCATTGTCTAAGCCCAGAATCTTCTCAAACTGATAAGCAACTTCAGCAAAGTCTCAGGATACAAAATTCAATGTGCAAAAACCACAGTATTCCTATATACCAATAACAAACAGAGAGCCAAATCAAGAGCAAACTCACATTCACAATAGCTACAAAAAGAATAAAATACCGAGGAATACAACTAACAAAGGATGTAAAGGACCTCTTCAAGGAGAACTACAAACCACCACTCAACAAAATAACAGAGGACAGAAAAGATGGAAAAACATTCCATGCTCATGGTTGGGAAGAATTAATATCATGAAAATGGCCATACTACCCAAAGTAATCTATAGATTCAGCATATCCCCATCAAGCTACCAATGACCTTCTTCACAGAACTAGAAAAAAACAGTTTAAACTTCATATGGAACCACAAGAGAGCCCGCATAGCCAAGACAGTCCTAAGTAAAAAGAACAAAGCTGGAGGCATCACACTGCTGGACTTCAAACTATACTACAAGCCTACAGTAATCAAAACAGCATGGTATGGGTACCAAAACAGAGACATGGACCAATGGAACAGAACAGAGGCCCAGAAGCAACACCACACATCTGCCATCATCTGACCTCTGACAAACTTGATAAAAACAAGAAATGGGGAAAGGACTCCATGTTTAATAGATGGCTTTGGGAAAACTGGCTAGCAATGTGCAGAAAGTAGACACTGGACCCCTTCGTGTCACCTTACACTAAAATTAACTTCAGATGGATTAAGATTTAAACATAAAATCTAACACCATAAAAACACTAGAAGAAAATGTAGGCAAAACCATCCAGGACATAGGCATAGGCAAGGACTTCATGACTAAAACACCAAAAGCAATGGCAACAAAAGTCAAGATAGACAAATAGGATCTAATTAAAATTCAGAGCTTCTGTACAGCAAAAGAAACCCATCATTAGAGCAAACCAGCAACCAACAGAATGGGAAAAAATTTTTGCAACCTACCCACTGGACAAAGGGGTAATATCCAGGATCTACAAAGAACTAAAACAGATATACAAGAAAAAAACAAACAACCCCATTCAAAAGTGGGTGAAGTATATGCGCAGATACTTTTCAAAAGAAGACACATATGAGGCCAACAAACATAGGAAAAAATGCTCATCATCACTCATCATTAGAGAAACTCAAATCAAAACCACATTGAGATAACATCTCATGCCAGTTAGAATGGCGATCATTAAAAAGTCTGGAGACAATAGATGCTGGAGAGGATGTGGAGCAATAGGAACACTCCTACACAGTTGGTGGGAGTGTAAATTAGTTTAACCATTGTGGAAGACAGTGTGGCGATTTCTCAGGGATATAGAAATAGAAATTCTATTTGACCCAGCAATCTCATTACTGGGTATACACCCAAAGAACTATAAATCATTCTACTATAAAGACAATGCACATGTATGTTCATTGCAGCCCTGTGTACAATAGCAAAGACCTGGAACCAACCCAAATGCCCATCAATGATAGACTGGACAAAGAAAATGTGGTACATATACACCGTGGAATACTACACAGCCATAAAAACAGTGAGTTTGTGTCCTTTGTAGGGACCTGGATGAGTCTGGAAGCCATCATTCTCAGCAGACTGATGCAAGAACAGAAAACCAAACACTGCATGTTCTCACTCATAGGTGGGTGTTGAATAATGAGAACATGTGGACTCAGGGAGAGGACCATCACACACTGGGGGTATTTGGGGGGGTAGTGGAGGGGTGGGGGGTGGGGAGGGTGGGGGGGATAACATGGGGAGAAATGCCAGATATAGTATGCACCTAAAGTAAAATAAAAATATAAAAATGAAAAAATAAGGCATACTAAGTAGAAAATACTGAATAATGAATGGCAGTTACCATAATATGTGTTTTTACACAATATTATTAATTTTTAATTTTCCTAATGATATATTAAGAAACACAATTACCACATCTTGAAAATATCTGAAACAATAAAAGCCTATGGAAAGTTTTTAAACTTAGCAGCCTTGTTTCAAAAAGGATTTTAGTGCACTCATTCTGGCTTATATTGATCACTGCATTTCATATGATTATTTTAAACCCAGAAAATACCACTCTCCAATCAGAGAAGTTTTTTTATGTAGTCAGTAACAGAATATGAAGTACACTAGAATAAAACAAACTAACAGCAGTCTTTAATAACCTAAACAAATCCAAAAAGGAATAAGGCAAACCAAGAATTAGGCAACTTTTACATTTCCATTTTTACTGTTTTCTCATTATATTATGGTGTCAACTAGTTTACTGTGGAGTTCTTTAAGATTCGTATCAAAATCACTTCTCTGTTCATGTTATCTAGTTCTGAATTATAAAGAAAATATGAATGGTGTATGATTTTGTTTTATTAATACCAAAAATATAACTTCCAAATTACTTAAACAGTTATGAATGTGAGAGCTATGTTACTGATCTATTTATAGTATGAAGCAAAATAAACCTTCACTTAACAGGAACAATCTTGAAAATTAATAATGAAAGCAAAACATAAATCTGTAAGTTACTCATATGTAACAGGACAAAAGAAAGATACACATCTTTTTCCTTCCAGCCTCTACTATACTGCACTATTTAGAAAGCTCACTACTCTCTTCTAGCATAAAGCAAAAATTCTACTTCAGACTTCCCTAGAAGTGGATCTGTAGGATATACTCCCATAAGGTTCCCTGGCCAAGAGAACAGTGCCAGCCCTGCCTTTAAGCTCTCAGTCTCAATGCTCTCTGTACCTCATCTATCAAAGCCTCTTCATACAGATGTGGGTAGGAACCAGGGACAGTATTATTGATACTGGCCAAAGCTCTCAGGACTCTCATCTTGCTGGTTTCAGCATGGGCTCGTGGACCCCACAGGAACTCATAGCATGGAGGATCACTGTTGCACACCTGCCGGTACTCCAGGTACTTATCTTGCACCAAATCTTCCGTAATGATCTTCCGGGGCTCCCCATAGATTGAGTGTATGATTCCGTCATAGATCCCCAAAACACTCAGGAAGTTCCAGACCTCCTTTTCAGTGGCACAGTTCCCTCTCATGAAAATGAAACTCAGGAGAGACATCAGGATACCCGACTTCGCCAGCCCATTAACACCACTCAGAATTCCTTCACCGGAGAGGCCCAGCTTGCTGACAAGGGTGTAGGATTCGCCGCTGGAATCCATTTCTTTCAATTCAACGCCAAAAACCACCGCCAAATGGTCGGAGGTTTTCTTGAGGATCTCAGGGAAGTACACCTTGTACTTTCTGTTAATACGCTTAAGCATGTCTGCCTTCAAAATGATCTCTTTCTTCTCAAACTTCTCCTGTAGGAATTGCACCAGCGCTTTCGCCTTTCTGTTTAGAGGATCTCGATCTGTGGTCTTAAAGAAGGCAGCTCTCTGGGAGGCGATTGCACTTTCCTCATCTTGACTCAAGCCAGTCATATCAGATTTCGAGCATGAAACGCCCGCATCAAGAGAGCCAGTGGATGAAACTCCCTGAGACCCCTGAAGAACAGAGGCATTAGGGGAGGTGCTTGCATTTTTCTCATCTTGACCCTTGGCAGCCACATCAAATTTTGAGCATGAAACACCTGCATCAAGAGAGCCAGTGGGTGAAGCTCCCTGAGACTCCTGAGGAACAGAGGCATCAGAAGGCTTAGGATGAGCACCCCAATAATCAGGAGAAGAGATAGTGGAAGAGTGGGGCTCTTCTTGCTTTTCTGCAGTGGTCTGGGGACCTGTGAGACCCTGAGGCTGACCATGGGTCTCTCGGCGTTTGTCACAGGCATGGTGCTTACTCTTGTGACCCCGAGGCATGATGGTTGTGGCCTGTGACAGAAGGTAGGAGTGTGGGCAGGAAGGCTGGCACCTGGACGGGAGAGAGTGACATCACATTGACACCTTCACCAGAGAGCAACCGTCTTGGCTTTAACCAGGGACCCTTCTACAGGTTTTTGAGAAACAACTGCTCTAGGAACTCACAGGACTCCTATTCTCCTAGTAAGTCTGTGTCCTTCGAACTCAGGAGGAAGTTAAGAGTGAGTATTAGACTGTAGCATTTTGGGGCTTACTGAGGTGACAGCAGGGGCTGGCAATGGGGGCCCCTCTGTTCAGAGGTCTGTTCCTCTATATTTATATTCAGGATCATCATAAAAATTGACAAGACCCAGAGGCCCATTCTCCTCTGCAGCTCTAACATTGACACTAGGAATTTTTACAATACTAATGAGGAGGAAATAAAGAAGCACTTCTGCCCAACACTTCATTCCAAGGACACCCAGACTGCCTATGGCCAAGAACAGCCAGAGCATTTGAATTCTCTTGCTGTTTTAGTCAGAATTATCCCCACAGTAATCGGACTCCTCACCCTCACTCTTCCCACAACCTGGAAATCACCCTTGCTGACCTGCTGTCATCTCCTTACGACCAGGGCCCTACTTCTCTGACGCTCACCGGAACCAAGTAAGAATGCACTTTAGTCTCTAGAGACCTGCCGGGACCCCATACTGATGTCAGCAGCAGAGTTTGGTGTCACCCCGTTCTGGGGCATGGAGTCCCCTCAATCTTACGGAGGATTCTCTTTTGACTACGGAGTGCCTGAGATTTCTCTCCCTCCTGACCTGAGTCCACCAGCCTTGGACCGAGGCGTTCACGCTCTTCAACCCGACGGAAAAAGTGAATGCACTTTGGGCCTAGCGGCCATGCTTGCGGACTCCTCAGGGACTGGCTCAGGGGCGAGATGAGACTCTCTAGAGCCGCCTTTTTTAAGGGAGAAGGGATTTGCGGTTGTCGGGCAATGCCCCCCAGTTCTAGGTCAGGACACTCACTAGACAGATGAGCTCTAGGATGCCTCTTTCCGCAGACCTGACACAGCACTTTCAGACCAAGGCCGGGACCCCGCAGCCTTTCTAGGCGGAAGTCAGGGGGGAACCACTTCCGGCCATGCCGGCCCCCCCCCCCCGACTTTCCCAGCATAACAGCCGAGGCGGGGCTCTGCCATTCACCCTGTGTTCTGTGGGCAGGGTGGCTCCCGGAAAATTCACATAAAATTCTTTCTGGGGCTCTTAGTGGACCCTCGGACTTCTCTGTCGGCTGAGCTTAATCAGTCAGCAGGAGATCAAGGATCTCATTCCTTGAGAGTCCAGAGTAGGAAGTAAGGTGGAGCCTGAGCCCGGAAGCCATGCCGGGACCCTCCAAGACTGACAGGGGTGGGGCTCCATGGTTCCCCTTCTAGTACTCAGCAATAACAATGATCAATAGTTATAGCAAGAAGATTGATTGGATAAAGGTTTATTTATTTGTTGGTTTGTTGGCAAGACCACTCTAAAGGCAACACTGTGTATTTCAATTAAGAGATACACAATGTCTATTATCACCTTTGTGGTCATGTTGGCGGTCATTGAGGATTACCACTTTTATCAACTAATCCATTAGGGGCTGCAGTATGGTTATTCTGTCTAAAATAGTTCTATACTTAGAACCTTTTTCTTGTCTGCCATTTGTTTTCCTGATGTAATGGTAAATGTATTTATAGTGTTCTCTTATAATCTTTAAAACTCTTCTGTACATAAATTTTGTAGTTTTTTTTTTTTTTTTTTTTGAGACGGAGTTTCGCTCTTGTTGCCCAGGCTGGAGTGCAATGGCGCGATCTCGGCTCACAGCAACCTCCGCCTCCTGGGTTCAGGCAATTCTCCTGCCTCAGCCTCCTGAGTAGCTGGGATTACAGGCATGTGCCACCGTGCCCAGCTAATTTTTTGTATTTTTAGTAGAGATGGGGTTTCACCATGTTGACCAGGATGGTCTCGATCTCTTGACCTCGTGATCCACCCGCCTCGGCCTCTCAAAGTGCTGGGATTACAGGCTTGAGCCACTGCACCCGGCCCAAATTTTGTAGTTTTATTTAACTAATATCACTTATTCCATTTTTTCATAATAGACAACACTTAAAAAAGTTTTTTTATATAAATGTAATAAATGTTATTTAAATGTCATACTATATAAACTGTTATGTAAATCTTTTGAATAAACTGGATTTCATTAGTTGACTGTACTGTTTCTTAATTCATTATTTCCGTATTTATCATCATTATTTTCTACCTTTTACTTATTTGGGCATAATATGCCATTGTTTCTGCAGCCTTTGAATCATTTGTAGGTTTTACTTTTTTTGATAAATATATTTAAAGTTATAATATTCTTTTCAATACCACTTGGACTTTTTCCCATAGTAGGTCTCTATGGCACTTTATGTGTAGTGTTCAAAGATTGTAAAAGTTCAGTAAATCTCTCCATTATGCTCTTAGAATTTTTGAATATATATAAAATATGTATGTATGTTATATACTTTACATTTATATATAATATACATGTTTACATAACAGAATTTGAACACAAACATGTACATACATGCATGCACACATACATATTTATGTGTAACAATATTTTTTTCTAGAAGTGAAATGACTGTTTCTCATGAAGAAATTAATCAATATAATTGGCCAACTTTAACAGTCAAAAGATTATCCAGGAAACAGAAACCACTCTAAATGCAGGAAATAGGTTACTGGAGAAGTCAGCCAATAACAGTGGAACAAATAATACCTATCAACTCAAGGAAGACACTCCTACCTCTAAGCTGGAGGAAGAAAGAGAAAGTACATTATTACTGAAGTGTAGGAGTTGTGGTCAACAGGATCTGAAATCATGGCTAACCAATAATGAAGGAAATTATAGCTGCGGAGAAGATGTATCCATTGAAGAAGCCACCTGCTGCAGAGTGAAAGAAGGTAAAAAACTTTGGGCACTTCCAGTCTCCTGAGCTCTTATCTCCAGCTTTTCCTCTTTTTGGCTGAACTGAGCTGACATCCAGGTGTTGAAGAGTGCAGAGCATAAGAAATGGGAGTTAGACATTTTATAATGGAGAGTAAAGAAGGGGAGGCTTGAGGAATGGATCTCAGGCAAGAAGGTCCAAGGATGGACGAATCACTGCCAGCATAGATGAATTATATATAAACCAATACAGAATAATGTTTTAAACTAACATTCATTCATGCTTAAAAATACATATGTCCAGTCCGGTAAAGAATATACACAAAACAACAACAGTAAACATCATATGTAATTTGAAAATATTGAAAGGTTTTACTTTAAAATTTAAAAATAGAAAAGGATGCCTGATGTCATCATTTCTATTTAACTTTTTAATCAAGATACTACATAGTTCTATATTAGAAATTGGAAAAATAAAAGGGATAGAGATCAGAAAATTAAAAGGACAATTACTATCATTAATAGATTATTATAAAGTATGAATGTGAATACTAATGAAAAACTATCAATAAAAGTGTTTTTTAAAGTTGCACATAAGGGCAAAATATAAACATGTATTTTGTTTCTGGAGCAACAATATGAAAATGAAATTAATCAAAATATAACTTATAATCAAAATATTAGTGCCTATTTATATGACTATATTTAATCTGTACTTATACAGCTATTATTTATATAAATAAATACAAAGTTTTTTTGTATTTATTTATATACACAGAGAATGGCTATACATTTATGTAAAGAAAAATTGAGTATTATAAACATGTTCATTCTCTGCAAATAGAATCTACAGTGTATGATTCTCTCAAAGAAACTCAATAGATTTTTGTGTATGAAAATTAACAGGCTGATTCTAAACTTAAATTGACTTGCAAATGGCCAAAATATAAGAGGACTTACTCTCCTAGATGTTAAGAATTTTTTTAAAAACTATAGTAATTGTATGGATTTTGTTCCTCATTTGGTTAATATGGTATATCACATTTATTGATTCTTGTATGTTGAACCATTCTTGCATCCCTGGAGTAAATCCCACTTGACCATAGTGAATGATCTTTTCTGTTGATTAGATTTGTTAGTATTTGCTTAAGGATTTTTGCATCTGTGTTAATCAGGAATACTGGTCTGTAGTTTTCTTTTCTTCTATTGTTCTTGCCTGGCTTTGGTACTAGGGCAAATGCCAGCCTCATAAAACAAGTTGAAAGTGTTTCTTCCTCTTCAGTTTTTGGGAAGAAATTGAGAAAGATTGCTATTAGTTCTTTAAATGTTTGGTAGAATTCAGCAGTGAAACCATCAGGTCTTGAGCTTTTTCTGAAGACATACTTTTAAATTACTGATTCAATCTCCTCACTTGTTACTGTTTAGTTAATATTTTCTACCTTTTCCTGATTCAGTCCTGATAGATTGGATATTTCTAGAAATGCATTTATTTGTTTTATTCAACTTGTTGGTGTGTAATAATAATCTCTTATGATACTTTTTGTACTTCTGTGGTGTCATATATAATATCTCATGTTTCATTTCTGATTTTGTTTATTTGAATTTTTTTTAGTGTCATCAATATTTAAATGAATGCTTGGCCAATACATGAGAAACAATTTCATTATTCAATACAATCAGAACATCTGAACCACCACAGAAATGAAATAGTCAGCTCACAGAGTGAGATCTGAGAGAAAACAATAGAGATGGTCTAATCATGATTCACTATTGCCCACACACACCCCATGTGCAAACCAATCCCAGCGTAAACACTCAGTGGGTGTAAGACAGAGTGAAGTGTCACACACTCAATTAAGTTTTTAAAAGAAGTAAGGTTGGTAGAGAAAGTAAAAAGAAAATAAAGGGGGAGGGAGGGATGAATGGAGGAAAGAAGGAAGGATATGGAAAGGTAGGAGGGAGAAAGGAAAAGAAAAAGAAAAAAAGGAGCAAGAGAGAATGAATGAGTGTGAATCAACGAATTTAAGTCATAGCATTTGTCTAGACCACAGTGAGAATTTATTCTACTTCTATCTAAATCTGGGCTTTTGTACCACTGGGCCTCTCCACTACCCATGCTAAACAACTTCCTTTTCTGAGTTATTCAGAACTAAATAAGAATGTGTTTCCAAATTTACAAGCTATACAAAATATATAGGTAAAATATGTTCAGAGGGAGACAATGTGGAAGACAGCAGTATAACAGAATAGAAAACTGACACGATTAGAACCATGAGCGTTTTTCTTTCAGCAATTGTTTAGATCTATTCTAATACAGAAATTGTTTTAGATCTAATTTTCATCCACTGAAAATTATGCATATATCAATTTCCAACTAATCTCTGCTTTCTAGGAAAAAAGATCAATTATAATGTCATGCTACTACAACCAATGGCCTTGTCATCTCTTTGTCATAGTAAATAAGCACTAAACTTAAAGCAAAATTAAAATTAAATATCTGACACATCTTCCTTTATGACAGAAGGCCAGGAGACTTGGACACAATCCTCATTTTGCCATTTGTTTCATTTTATTTTTATTGTTCTTATACTTGCATGAATATGTTACTATAATAATATAGTCACTCAACATTTGTAATATATTTTGAAGTCAATTAGTTTCATGAAATCTCTGTGGCCATTTAAGTAGTTTAACTTTATCCAAGTTAATACCCTCCTAATTGAAGAAACTTGGCCTCAGAGTACATGCTGCATTGACATCCCAGAAGAATTTGAGGAAATTTTATAAAATTTATCTTATCCTCATTAATAGGCAAACTGGGATATGGAGTCT